CATTTTGCAGAAGTACTAAAAGAGCCAAATTCACTTAAAAATTTTGTCTCAGAGAAGATTGATTATTGTGTAAACAGATGTATGCTTTATTAAAAAATTAGCATGATAGAGACTCGATGCATATTTTGTTATTCTCATAGATTCAAACCTCATAGTAGAAAATGTAACAGATAGAAGGAAGTTCTGTTTAAGTGGCTCTTTCATCTATCGCTTATTACACATCTTCAGAGGCTATACAGTTCTATGATATATGACGTAACATCATAACATATCAGGGAAAATCAACTCAATGAGTCATCTGACTGACGAGGAGGCTTATAAATATTTTGATTGCTCATATCCTAAGTTTCTTATGGAGTCACTTACTGTGTAGCTTGGCTTATGCTATGATGGATTCACATCATACAGAATGCATAGCCCTACTCTTATTAGTCAGTGATTGTTAGACATACAATCTCCTACTTGAGAGGTGCATGACAATGTCTTTCTTCTTTCTGACACTGATTATATCAGGTCTAATAGCCCTAAAGACAGAATTGATGTATATTTGCAGTTGTTGATAGATGAGCTATAAATTCTTTGAGAAAGAGGCGTTATAACGTTTGACGTTTCCATGGAATATAATTTTTTGATGAAAGCAGCATTAATGTAGACAATAAGTGATTTTCCTACATATTAAATGTTATCTGGGTGGAGCACCGTGAAAAAATTAGCATGTCCATATTGCAAGGATTCATCTAAGGCATTTACACTTTAGCATGGTAGAAAGAATTCACGATTTGAGAAACACTATATGTTTCTAAATGCTAAACATTCCTTCAGAAGGAACATGAATGCATTCAAAAGAAAAAAAATATTGAGAAATTAGTGCCAACTACAATAGCATCTAAAGAAGACTTACTCCAGATTGTTAGTGGCATTCCAAATATTACTAATGCCTGACCTTTTTTTACATTGTTCATCAGTGTTTGGTGTTACTCATAACTAGAAAAAAATGTCATTTTTGGGATTTGTCTTGCTAGAAGGAAAACATGATCAGACACAATCTAAATGTCATACACTTTTTTTTTTTTTTTTTTGGTAACATCTTCAACATTGTGATGGATGTTAAGAGAAAAACTAAAGATAACATGAATTCCAGACTTGATGTGAATGAGACATGCAAAAGGCGGGAGTTGGAGATCCAAGCAGCTACTGTCAACAAGCTCATGAGGACCAAAGCAAAATATTCTCTTACTTTATCCCAACAAAGAACAATTTGTGATTGGTTCCAATCACTAAAATTCTCGAGCGGGTTTGCTTAGAATTTGAGTCCTTGTGTTGATTTGGGTGTAGAAAAAATAATTTGAATAAAAAGCTACGACTGCCATATTTTTCTTCAAAAATTGATGTCAACCGCATCAAACTATTTACCGAGCGAAGAACTTAATTTGTTGATTGAAATTAGTGTGTTTTTCAGGGAACTCTTGCACTCTTTTAAAATTTGATGGCGTACGCTAGCTAGAGGCACCGCCCATTTTTTTCAACTCGATGGAGCATTTGCTTATATATTTACACAACAAGGCATTAATTGGAGGTTCAGTACAATACCGCTGGATGTATTCATTTTTAAGGTAATTACTCATGTACTATATAGTTAATCACTTATTTATAAAGAATATTGTCAATTTGTGCTAAATAACATTTGTTTTTTAGTTTTTTTGAATAAACTGAAGAGAACTATGATGAATAAAATGCGGTCAGAAGGATCGATATGTGAGACATATTTACTGTAGGAGACTACAACATCCTACTCCTATTTCGGGCAAGAAGATTTCATGAAAGAGATAGTGGATGTTGTGCCTTCATCGACACTTTTTGCTTTCCAATAATTAGGTGAATCATCAGGGAGGTGCATACCACGTTATGTTCATGATCAGAAACGTCAAGCAATACCACTTTATGTTCTTCTCAATTGGGAGGAAGTGAAACCCTTTATTGAGTAAGACAAATTTTATTATAGTTTTTCACTCTTTCATATGGAAATATCATGTTGAGCTAATCCAAGAATATTTCAATGTGTGAATAGTTTATTCATGGATTCATTAAATTCAACTGAAGAAGAAATCACCAACAAGAAAATTGAGAATAAATTCCCCCAATAGTTTGCAATGCATGTGAGTTAGAATTGAAAAATTCATTACTCATCTCACATGTGAATTTTCATTAACACGTGATTTCTTATGTATTAATATATTTATGATTGCAAATATGGAGTATCAAATCAGGGCCTAATAGACCTTACTTGGGAACCTATGTGCATCGTGAAATCTGTCAAATTTACGATGTGAAGGGTTACAGATTTCATACGAGATCCTAGTCCGAAGACAAAGACTTCTTATCCTAGCTTTTGTGTTAAATTAAACAATAAATTGAACGACGAGATAGATTACTAAGAGATTCACGAAAAAGTTGTTGAGCTATCTTATCATTGCGCCATTGAAGGATGTGTATTCTTATATAACTGTAATTGGTTCTATCCTATTCCTAATTCTGGAACAAGCGTAAACCAATCAAATAATATAATAGAAGTGAAACTGAACAAAAGGTATGCTAAATTTGATCATTTCATTCTAGCAAAATAAGCGATACAAGTTTATTATCTTTGATATCCTCATAGAGAAAAAGATATAGATGACTAGGCGGTTGTCATATTGAAAAAAGCTAGAGTCATCATTAATATTTAAAATAAGATTGAATTTGCTCTTCATGAAATTAAAATGACAAATCTATGTTTTCCACTCGATTCTATCTATGAAGAGTTCAATTTAGAAGATGCTAGTGGCAAACATGAAGAAATTACTCTCGTTGATGAGTACGACTTTGACAATGTGTCTGATGAAGGAATTCTGACTACAACCTTTAGTCACACATCAAACGATGTTGAGAAAGATGGGTAAGTTTAAATATTTTAAGCATCAATCCCTCTAGTATGTAGACTACACTTTACAGTTTTTCCTTTGGTTATTTAGCATGTAAGTTTTGTCCAGTTTATTGCGTATTTTTGTATTTTCAGTTTTACTAATTTGAATCTTTATACTAAAATTTTGACTACTTGTTTACTACGTATGTATTTTTTGTTTGCCGCCTACTGTTATGTTTTTATTTTACTACATAGTATTTTTTTATTTGCACTAATTAAATAATTTTTTTATTTGTTGTAAATGACGACTTGGAGGCGGGGACGGTCTCCCTCCTCGCTCGGGGAGGGGGTGTGGAGCACAGCAGTACATCATGAAGAAGTCCGTCCAAAGAGGCCACCCACCCTCTAACCCCACCCCTACCCCTACTTCCACCCCTACTCCACTACAGCGCTAGCATTGCCACTAACTGTGACTACAGTAGGTATGAGTTTGATAGAGGCCCACGCTGCATCTACTGGGAAGGAATCAATAGGCAGCAGTTACTACATTGAGCATATGGGGAACGCACAAGCTTTTTTTTAGGTTGAAAGTAATCTTTTTAAAAAATAAAATTGAGTAGAAAACTAACCATTTATATTTTTCAGGTTCTACCCCCCGACACAAGTTATTCAGGCCATTAAGGATATCCTTCGGAGCAAATGCAAATCACTGTACTTGTTCTGAAAGGAGATCTCAATGGCAATTCAGGATCTTTAGTTCCAGGAGTTTGCGATATAAATTGATTACGGTAATCTCAAGGTATGTTTGTATATTCATCAATCTAATATAATTCATGTCATTTTATAGTAACAATTCTCTTGACACCCTATGCTCAAAGCCCACATCCGACGCAACTTTGAGCTCAAGGGCAGCAACCGCCTTTAGGACATCTTCAGCGATATTCAAAAATCATGGCAGTGTCCCATGTCCCTCAGAGAGGATGTTCTTGCCTCACTACTTACGTCCTGGAATTCTTTGGAACATCATAAGAAGAAAGCGCAAGCAAAACAAAATCGGCACTCAGCTATAGGGGTATGGGAACCTCCAAACACACTGATGGGGCGCTCCTACACATAGAGTACAGGCAGAGGATGATAAGATTTCATTTCTACTTTAATTATATTATAAATCAAACATATATTCTAACTATTTCATTACATTGACAGGATGTGAAGTTGGAACGAGAGTCTTGCACTGTCGTTGTACTCGAACACATATATAGGCGGCAGTCGAACCAGTCATGGATTTACGACAGATTCTGAACGACATAATAATTCACGAGGTACTCTAACTGTATGTAAGCACTTTTTGTAGGAAGAATTCTAGTAGTAGAAGGAGAAGAGATCCCAGTAGGACAGTATCAATCTCTCTCTCACCATTTTTAATAATTGCTTGGAAGATTATCCCTCTGTTCTTATAGGGGTGATCATTGGAAAGATGGAGAATTCAACGAGGAAAATCACAAACACTCTCGTCTTCCGCACCTTCCTAACAAATGTCTAATATTCAGAGTTCTAAGAGCCCGAGCAATACATACGCTAAAAGAATTCAATATATAAATACATATATAAGAGAGAGAGAGAGAGAGAGAGAGAGAGAGGGAACAACCGCGTTAAAACAAATGGCATATATATATATACATATATAAGAGAGAGAGAGGGAACAACCGCTTTAAAACAAATGGCACACAATGAATTACATTTTGACATCTTCAAACCACTTCAATCTCTTAAACATCTACTTAAAACTCGTTTGTAGCAGCCCAATTTGACTTTGCCAATGTCACTTTTTAGCACTGGTTCAATTACCACCAATTGCCATTGATTTAACCTCTAGCGTGTACTCATTCGATCTAAGCTCATAAAAAAAGAATCATAAACAAATCCATTGCTTAGTAATATATATATAAGTCAATGCATACAGCATTACTAGCCCAAACTAATCTGTTTCCACTTGAATTTCTTCCAAGCACCAAGTCTCTAAAAATCCCTATATATCATCATGCCACCACACTGCACCACCCAACCTCCCAAGACAAATAACCCAACAAAAAACATAATGGCAATAAAAGCCTCCCTAGTATTCCTCTCTGTTCTCGCCGCCACCCTCACAACTCATGCCGCCGATCCCAACATCCTCACCGACTTCATCACCCCCCCAGGACTAACTCCAAATGCCACCTTCTTCACCTTCACAGGATTCAAACACGCCATTACAAGTAAACCAAATAATGTTCCCTTCAAACTCACCAAAGCTACGCAAGCCGAATTCCCCGCCCTCACCGGCCAAAGCGTCTCCCTAAGCGTTCTCCAGTTCGCCCCCAGCCCCACCGGCCTCAACCCACCCCATTTCCATCCTCGCTCCGCAGAGCTCTTGCTCGTCATACAGGGGACAGTTAACGTTGGCTTGATTGATTCTGCCAATCGGCTCTACACTCAGACGTTATATGCCGGCGACGCATTTGTATTCCCCAAAGGGCTTGTTCACTACCAGGTTAATGGCGACTCCAAATACCCCGCAGTTGCTGTATCTGCTTTTGGCAGCGCTAGTCCCGGAGCCATCTCTCTGCCCAAAAACCTTTTTGGGAGTGGGATTTTCGATTGGGTGTTGGCCCAATCCTTTAAAACTGATGCGGCCACTATCAGAAAACTTGTTTCAGCTAATTCGAGTTGATTATTTGTTGGTTTTCAGATTTGCTTTTCAATTGGTTTGTTCTGTTACGTTTAATTTGGGTTGAAGAAAAAAAATGTAATCTTTAAGGGGGCTGGCGGTATACTCTTACATGAATGTTTATTATTAGATTTCTATGTATCGTTAATGTTGAAAACTATTGATATGAATAAGATGAAACGGCCATGGAGATTGGAAAAAAGTCAACTTAAGAAAACCAAAGAACAATAACAACATCGGCAATAACAATAAATGCAGAAGATAAGGAATAGGGCTGTCAAAAAAATTGGTTGTTCGTGAAGAGTTCATTAGAGAGTTCGTGTTCGGTTCGTTCGAAAAGGAAATAAATCGAACACGAATAATTTTTTTTCGTTTAATTTGTTAAACGAATCATCTGCTCGTGTTCGGTTTGTTAATGTTCGAAATATAAAATAATTTAAAATAATTATATATCAAAAAATTATGATATTTTAAAAATAATTATACATTCTAAAAATTTATCATATTTAAAAAAATTAAATTCTATAAATTATAATATATAATAAATATTAATAACATTAATAATATATTACTATTGATTATATTAATATAATACACTATATATTAAAAAAAACTATAAAGACCTAATTCTAAACAACGCTTCTCTCGTTTCGACTTTTCCGAGCCTTCTTCTTCTCCTCTCAAAATCACGAAAGCTTTTCGCGCCCACCATGAGAGTTTAGGATTTGTCTTTTATGTTAGATCTCTAATCTCTACTCTTATCACCCCTAATAAGGAAGTTTACACCCCTAACAAGGAAGTTCCAATTGGAGGGATCAAATTAAAATATAGGATTTGCGGAAGACTGGTATCAAGGCATGCATTTGGCTTTAAATTTGTGTGATATGTACGTAAATTTATCCATTTTATAATATATATTTGTAAAGATTACAGAAAATGCTACAGATAAATTATATATATGTGAAAAGAAATAATAAAATAGAATAGGTTTGTAGTTTTAATGTAAACACGAACTTGGCAAAGGGCTGGCTAATGAAGCCACCGATTCGGCTCATTTATATTTCGAGCTCAAAAAGTGTGTTCTTGTTCGGCTCGTTTGCTTAATGAGTCGAACACGAGTTGTTCACGAATAAAGAGTCCTTTGAACAATCCTAATCATGTCGCCATAAAACAATAAGGGTTTGAGCAAGATTTAAAAATTATTATTTATATTAAAACATCATTTGAATCTAATTTAATAATTTTTATTCTATTTTCTTAATCAGTATTTTTAATGATTATAAATCTTTGTAGTCTTATAGTCAATTAGATTTTTTTTAAAATACTACTATATATATATAAACTTGCTGAGTAGTATTTCGAGCCAAAACGAACCGAACACGAACGAACACATCTTAGTTCGTGTTGGGCTCGTTAACTTATCGAACAAAATTAACGAGCCGAACACGAGTTGTGCGCGAATAAAGAGCCGTTTTGACAGCCCTGAGTCAAAGTGTGTCTAGATCTCTAGTTATAGTCGACATGTTTTGCCTGGTGATCAATGAAAATTTGTATGGATGAAGATAGTGCCATTTTGATGGGGATTTTTTATGATGGTCACAAAGTCTAGTTTTTTATTGGTTTGTAAACGCATTGAATCAGGTATAGAGATGCTATCTGACTTGAGTTTGATTGTTGGGCAATTCTCATCGGACACGTAGCGAGTTTATGTTCGGTCTGGTTCAATGAGCTGATATTGAACCCGACTTGGTGAGCTCGTCCCCTTCATAGTTAATGGCTAGTAGCATGTTGTGCCCTCATTTAATAAAAAAGAAAGGATAATTACATATAGACCACCCAAAACTTTGATATTTACAATTTAACCATTCAGGTGATTCTTTTCATTGTCAAACTAATGTATTTAAGTGTGGCACGATCAAGCTATGTGGAATTTGATAAAGATGAAATATACGAGTTGGCGTTTTACTATGAATTTTGATATTCAGGCGAGAATTTGAAAAGTGGTTGGAAGAGAGTGGTTGATTTGTAAATATCAAGTTTCGGATGGTCTATACGTGATTATCCAAAAAAAATAGGATTATTACATAGTGACCACCTGAAATTTGTTATATATAAATCAACAACCTTACACGCACTACTGAAATTCAGTGATTTCTATCGAGCATGTCCGTCAAAAATGAAAGAGCACCCAGGTAGTAGGGGTGTAAACAAGCCAAACACTAGCGAGCCCAGACAGCTCGTGTTCAGCTCGCTTATATTTCGAGTTCAAAAAATGTATTCGTGTTCGGCTCATTTTCTTAGCGAGCCGAACACGAGCCGTTCACGAACAAGAGTCATTTTGACAACCCTAATCACACAGCCATAAGATATTAAGGATTGTGGCAATATTTAAAACATCATTTGAATCTAATTAAATATTTTTTATTCTATTTTCTTCATTAATACTTTTAATTGATTATAAATCTTTGTAGCATTGTAATCAATTAAATTTTTAAAAATTAATACTCCACAAAGATATATATATATATATATATATATCTACTCATCAAAGATATATATATAATTAGTAGTATTTCGAGCCAAACAAATATTTGTTTGTGTTCGGTTTGTTAACTTAGCGAACGAGCCGAACACGGGCTTCTTAACGAGCCGAACACAAGTTGTTCGTGGACAACGAGCTGTTTTGACAGCCCTAACAGGTAATAATAATAATACTAATAATAATAAGGGTCATTTACATATATATCATTCAATTCCTACGAATTTACATATCTAAGATCTAAACTTAACGGCCGAAAAATAACTTTTTTTTACAATGAAGTCATCCTAATTTATCCCATTACATCAAAAATATCTGTAGTTTAAATTTTAAGAAATGAAATGTACCTTTTCATGCATAAATTAGGTGGCATGTAGTAAAAATTAAAATTTTGTGGTTAGATGTATAAATGCATAAGAATTGAGTGGTATACATGTAAATCTTCCTAATAATAGTAAGAGGACTCTTCTATCTAAATGGTCACCAAAAGGATCTCCTTTTGACTTTGTAATTTATATGATAGAGATTGGTTGCATAACCCATAATTGTTTCATTATGGCTATCCAATTGGAGATAATATTATGAATGGAGTTTGGATGTATCTGAACTTCAAGTACTACAATATTGTACGTCATTGTACACATAATGTACATAAATTCCTTATGCATCTGGACTCTGCACATAGTTAATTTTCCAAACATTGAGGGAGATAATTATTATTATGTCGCAATAACTATCAAACTTCTATATGTAAATAGAGTAATTATTTATGATTTATCTATCCATAAAATCATTATGATAATCAACAAATTTTAACTTGATTCTATTATTTCATATCAACTAGATACTCCATCAATAAATTTACATCATTCGGAATGAATCTCAAGACATGACATGAATCTCGATGTAGTTTTTTAAGCAAAAAATGTTCGAACTTTGATTAAAAGTCATCAAGAAATATGATTTCAACAAATTTATTATCAAATTAACGGGCTCGACTAGACGAACCCAATGATAACAAAATTGGTCTGATCTGAGTAAAATCAAACCAAGTTCAAACTGATAAACTACTTTTGAAAGCTTTCAGTGCATAATTGGAAGGTCAAATGAATTTTGAATATGACATGATTATATTCAAATTGAACGTCTCAACATGATCAATCTAATGATCCCAAGATCACTTAACTCCAACATCATTAAGCCAGTTGCAAATCTACATAGCATATTCTAATCAAGAGAATCTTTCAAGGTCGTCCAATCATAGTGATCTAGATTTATTTCTTATTTGCAATTTGGACTCTATAAATAGAGAGCCCTACTCTCTCTGGAGAAGAGAATTAAACCCTAAGCTAGAGGAAGACTAGAGTCTGGAGAAGGAGTTGCAGTCTGATATTCTACACTGACGATTTAACGTACAGTCCCAGCTTCTGCAGCCACCGACCATCATTCTCCACTGATTGTCGACCACCACTGACCGTCATTAGTCGCGACCTACTCCTTACAGTAAGATACCATACGAAGTAATAACCCAAACCACAGAATAGCATAACAACCGTTAAAGTAATGAATTATCATGAACATTAGGTAGATATCGAAGATGGTTTATCGAAGTTCTAGCAATTACTCCACAATACAAGTGCTCCCTAATGTGAGGCAACGAGTTATTGTGTGCATGAACCCGACAACTTGAGAAATTGTGTAACACTTTCTCCACTATGTAATAGGTGGTTGTACATATAATCACCAACTCATAGTAGAACATTTTAACTGAGTAAGGCCCCGTAATTTTTTTCCTTCCTTGGTTTTCCACATAATAATTTTTGGTGTCTCTGTTGGTTATTTACTTTTATTTGAGTGTGTGTTGGATTCTCGTATGACACTAAGATGATAATTCATTACTCAAGTGTCGTGAATCTTCTAGCATGCATTAATTTAACATTGTTTGTGGGTAGGCCCAATCTCACCATTAAAGTACTTGCGAGACTTATTTGCATGACCACTATAGTAAATACTCACAATAATATAGCATCCCACTCCAACACCTATATTCATGAGTGATAGTCACGGAGCTAAGGGCATCAAGTCTCCACATTTTTCCACCCTGGAATGCATTACCATGCTAACGAAGGCTCTCCGGGTCCTTTGGAAGTTCATGTACGAAGAATGGATGAGTTTCAACTAGAGATTCTCTAGCTCATATGAGGAGCTCGACAACTACTGCCCAAATAGCTAGATGAAGCTTACTTACACCAATTCAGTAGCCAATGAGAAATGCCCCACTCGAACATATTCTTACAGAGGCCCCTCCCTACGATGGAACCATTCCTTGTCAGGCTAGGATGTTGATCTCCTTGATACTGCAAATTTTACTCGTCCAACTCACTTGGCACTACCATACCGTATTGGCACCCCTGATGATGTCAGCCATGATGAGCTATTATGTCTGGTTCGCAAAGAGTTCCCTC